CTGATTATACCTCTCAGCTCCTTCTCAGGTGTAGGCAAGCCACACTTTCTTTTCCATATCTGCAGTTTCCTTTGTTTCCTCTCCTTCCCCAGTTAGAGAAGCTTCTTGCTTGCTTTGGGAAAGGACCATTCATGTGGCTATGCTCTTCTACTCTCCATTTCACCAGCTTCACAAGTCTGTTTTACCCTTTAAAGGATTCCTCTTGACACGTTCTCTGACTTAACCCCTTTGACAATTTAAGAGCATTTACGTTTCATTTGTACTCCTTTAAATGACATCGCAATCTTTTTCCTTCTATCAGGGCAACAGTTCATAACTTACAAATGTCTTCTCTGTTGCCATCTGATCTCTCCTTTTCATTTCTTATTTCAAGATTTCTTCATGAAAGTTGCGTTTTTTTTTTTCCTTTGTCTTTAAAAGTATTGCTGGGCCTTTTCTCTTCCAGTTCTGTCATACTTTGCTGAGGCACAGGAAATGCTCTTCCCTTGAGTGTCTGGCACAGGCTTTGGGAGACTGTTATCCTGCTTACCCAGTCTGACTTCCCCAGTCTCCTAAAGTACTTCTGGAGCCTGAGATTCCCAAATCTAAGGAGTCCATGCCATTGTCACCCAGTGTGTTCACAGCAAGAAGCAAGAAATCAGCTAATGGACCGAACTGCCCCATGCTGCTTTTCCACACACTTTAATCATGACCTTTCTCACTGTGAGTGAGAGACATGCCCAGTATAATATGGCAATTTTATCCAGGAAGTCTTAATGCTTTAGAGAGAGAAGTCAAGGTTTCTTTAGCCAGTGCTCCTCATACTTTTCTGACTGTGATTAATAAGAGGGAGGAACTGAAAGGCTGAGGGGTAGATAGAACTGTAGTGATGCTTGTGGTATACAAATCAGAGGTTCATTATTTCACTGTTGCTCTCAGCCACTGGATTCCTCCAGATCTCCCTTTTTATCTCAGATATTCATACTTTAGTTACCTACTTTAAATGCTATAATTTCAGGCTAAAATTCCTTTTATTTCCTCAAGGAAACATCTGTAATTCCTTTGATTTATGAATTTAAGATGGAAGTGAAAAGAGAACTGAGGTAAAGGAAAACATTTTCCCCACAGAGAAATACCATTTGTTTTTTGCTTGTAAGACATTGACATGGATAAACTCTTTTTCTTAAACAAACATTGCTTTTGAAGGTTACTTCCCCAGCTAGAATATCTGAAGCAAAGATTTCAGCAACCTAGTAGAACTTTGGACAGGATTTTGTGCTGTATATAAGAGATTTTTAAACACTTGAAGTATTTCTTCCTTGATAACCTCCAGTGCTGCCTCCTCTAATTACATAGAGCACAGCTCTCCGAAGTACAGCAGTATGTTATTAGAACGCGTAAATAAATTAGTAACAAGGATGGGTTTGTTTTTTTCCTTTCCACACAAACTACAGTGTATTAGGAGTAGTTTTGTACTTTTGACTGCTGTTGTGTGGCAATAAAATGTATGTGAATATTCTCTACCTCCAGTGTTTGCTCTTTAGTTCAATTTTAGTATTAATTGATTCATCATTGGATGACTTCAAGTAACTGTAAGATCTGAATCATCTTATAGCCATGGTAACCTTACACCCATTCCTTAGAAAGTCATACTGCCAAAACAATTATCTACTGTCTGCCTTGCCTGGAAAGAGGGGGGGGAAAAAAAAAAAAAAAAAAAAAAAAGACTGATACTGTGATGAGACATTGAGAGTCAGGAGTACTTTACTGTTGTAGCAGACCAGCTAAAGAGCAATCAGTTAAAGCAAGGTTATATGATTTCATACAGAAAACAGTACGTTCTTAAAAATGTTCAGCAAATGCAGGGTGTTTCATTTCAGGTCAACCGTTTGTAAATCCTGATGGGACACCGGCAATATACAATCCTCCCAGTGGCCAGCAGACGATGAGGAGCCAGATGGTGGGACAGTCTCAGCAGCAACCTTCATCCCAACAGACTCAGCAGGTTCAACAGCCACAGCAGCAAATGACAAGTCACCTTGTCACACAGGTAGGTGTGATGGCCACTGGAAAATGAATCTCTAAGGGATAGGAAGGATGACTTTATGGGTAGGAGGGAAGGGTACAGCTAGACAAAATATCAGGATGTTCTTTTCTTTTGAAATGAATGGGGCCAATGAGCTGTGTTTTCAATGTGGATGAAACAACAGATGGAGAGGGAAGATTTCCTTTTTCAGTTCCATCCAAAGGATGGTTTCATTTTGAAAAGGACTGTCAAGCAAGTTGGTGTATGTCTACATAAATTTATTTTGCAAAAGCGCACATAAGTGAAAGCTGAAGCATTAATTCTCAAACTAGTGCAGTCTGTAATTCTCTTCAAAGAGCCAGGGACCTTTCCCTGTCCCTTTTGACACAGTGGTGTTGAGCCAAAGAATCAAGTACAATACACGGCTCTACAAACTCTTCAATGACTGGTTATATCAAGCCTGATCTATGGGTAACTGGCTCTCTGAGCACCCCTGCCCCAGATTGTGGGTCTTCTGCCTGCACCCCATGTTCTGGCCATGACCACGCTCTGAACTAGAAGCTCTGGAGCTACAGCAGGAGAGGGGAAGAGCAGCGTAGTTTGGGCACAGTGCCATGGTATGTCAGCTCTCTGGCCCCTGGGCCAGCTGTGGCGCATGGCCAGCCATGGCCAAGCATGGGCAGCAGGATTTGGGTCTGGTTCAAACTTAATTTTGTGGATTGCGTGCCTGCTCTCCCAGAGCAGAGCAGGCAGAGGGAACTACTCAAGCAAGAATCCTACATCGTGCTTACTTGCAGAGCAGCCAAGATCTACTGTGGTTCTTGTGTGGCTTTATAATTCGGCGCAGTTTAGGTTACCCAGAAATACAAATTCAGTGAAATTGCTTTGATTTTATTGGGTTTGGACTTATGTGTTTGCAGCTCTTATTTCTTGATTTGTTCTTAGCAGTTTTAGGAGACAGAGGTAGTACCAAACCAGTGTAAGACTCAAGTTAAATGAGAGATTAAAACGAATGGAATAGTAAAGCTATTCCAAGGTAATAGTGCTGTAGAAAATTGTTCTTTCACTTATATGAACATCTGCCCCAAGCTGACAGGCCTGTCTGTTGATAATTCACTGCCTGTTCTTTGTCAATTTATTTTTTTAGCTATTGTGATCTGCCAGAGCAGCTTTACAATCATTAGCCCTTTGCCTGTGACACAGTGGGAGTTAAATCAGTCATTATCAGCAAAATTCAAATATAGACTTACTGTTCTTCTCTTCCATTTTATCTCCACAAACTAAATGTAGAATCATAATTTGACTTTGCCTCCCATCAATAATAAGAATGTGTAGCTGTGGCTTTATGTAATCTAACAGCCATCAAATATATGAAAATAGGCAGAAAAATCTGTAATAAAGAATTGTTTGGTATAAGGCTAAAATGAAGACTAAAATTGCAGTACCTGACCTCTTGTACTTGGGCTGGCAATGAGTCACCTTTCAGACCTGTATTTGAGACCTTTGTTCTTAGTACAGGAGGTGGTGATGGTTGTTGTTATCTCTAAGTAGGTTGTATTTATTGTCTTTCTCTGTGTTTACTTTGCAGCCTGTTCAGGCAATGCAGCCATCTTCTCAGTCAGTCCAGTATCCAGCAGTTTCTTATCCTCCCCAGCATCTCCTGCCAGTCTCTCCAACGCAGCAGTTTTCTGTGGTACTAAAGATTTGTTTTTCTTTCTTTCTTTGAAGTTGAAGTTGGGTGTGTGAGCATGAGTATGTCTGAGAGCCTCTGGGGAGCACTTCAAGGCATGTCCCACTGAAAGCTCCATCTAAATCCCTGTTTGCCTTAACGCTTTAGGTACTGACAAACATTCTGTAAGAGCGTTCCTGCTGATTCTGGTTATCTAACCTGGAGGATGATGTTAGGAGCAGGGCGCTCTACCCTGTTAGCAGAGCCTCCAGAAAAATGTTTTTGTTGTGCCTGTGTCTCCCCACTTTATGTTGAAGGGAGCTTAAATTGCTAACTTGAACATTTGAGATTTGGGTTATCCCCCTTTTATGTCCACAGAGACTGGAGAAGAGACTTCTAGAAATTGTTATGTTTTATTTTCTATTATTTTATCAGTATACTAAATCCACTGCCTGGAATAATTCCCTGATGATACTAGAGCGCTTGGAAAACAGAGTGGTGGCGAACCAGCTGCAGAAGGTGTGGTACACTAGGCATCATGACAAAGCACCAAAGGACATGTATAATCAAAATAAACAGAGTGCTCTTCTGAAGTCTGAATCTGCCTTGGTGCTTGCAGAGCTAAGATTATACTGTTGTAAAATGAAGCTGACATTTTAAGAGACACTGCAAGATTTTTCTTCTGTGACTTTTCTCTCTTGCTCTGATAATCTCGTTTATGACTGATTTTTTTTACCAAGGTAGAGAGGTCATGTAGTTATAGTAAGAAATGGAAACAAAGCTGAATGGATCCTTGCAGTTAAAATAATGTTATTAATGCCTGGTAGGTGAGCGGTACCATTTAAAGGACAATAAAAAATGTTCCGTGCTGAAGAGCAGTTGCATATCTCAGTACTAATTCTCTTGAAGTGTCTTGCAAGCATCTCAGGTTGTTCTCGTGATAGTCATAGGAAGGCTGGTATTTTTAGTAGCTAATTTAATAGTGAAACTTCACCTGAATTAATGTCTTCAATTATACATTACACACAATGTATAAATTCTAGGGTTTTGAAGCTTTTGGTCTCTATTGTGCAAATCCAGAGACAATCCAGGCTCAACGAAGTTTCTTGTAGCATCTGCAGTCATTCACCATCCAGGTAACAAATATCCTAGCCTTTTAAAGAAACAACTTCAGACAGACAACTTATGTGGCTGAATATGGTAGGATGATGGGAAAGTTAGTAGCATTACTTTCTTAGAACACCTGAAGGTCTGCCTGGGGTGTTTAAAATGTTGGCCCATGGTGTCTGCTCTCAGAGTGGGAGGGTGAGTCTCTGGCAGTGCTTTCCACAAACAACCTTTTTCTTTTTTTTTTCTGTTTTGAAGTTTCCTGCCAATGAATACATTGTGCAGGATGGTTTCGAAGAATGAACACCACAGAGATGTGAACAAAATTGAAGAGGCTAAGAGGCTCTTTTTAAAAAATAGCATGGATGCTCCAAGTGAAAAGCATTTTTTATAATGTGTATTCCCTATCCGTCAGGGAGTATAAGGGACCATAATCTGCATATTAGCAGACAGTGGAGTTTTATGCTGGATTTGTTGCCATATAGAGTATGTTTTAATGTTGAGTATTTAAAAGTCTTATGATATGGGCACAAATAAAGATGCATAGAGCCAACCACATTTGTAAATCTTCAACCTTCACAGAATAAACTTGAGAGCATTGATAAGTATGGCTCTCTTTGTGAGACTGAACAGGTACTGTCTAGAATCCTTGTGTCATTACCAGCATGTAATGAGACTTAGGTCCATTGACTTTATTTTGTACATTTATCCTACCATAGATTCCACACACCCCCCCCTCCCCTTCCAGTCAAAAGTACTTGTTTCTTTCCACAATGAATAAAAAGCCTTGAAATAGCAACTGAAGCCTTAGCTTTTTTTACTTTCTCTATGTTTACAACCTTGGATTTTCAAAACAGTCCAAAAAGGAAAAGGTCTGCATCTGAATCCTACTGAATTCCTCTTGGGATCATTTTGAAACACAGGTGAAATTACCAGCATGTGTTTGGCTGAGGAATTCTGTGTTTGGGGGAAGAGGTATTCATAACGTTATTTTCATACCCTTTATATTTAAAGTGTCTTCATTTGAACACTGTAATGTTCACTTGTCATTTTGGGATAAACGTGGGGCGGGGCGGGACAGGGTGAAAGCCAAAATTGGCTTTTGTGCCAAGCGATGCCATTCACCTTTCAGTCTGGAAGTCTTTGTCAAAGCATTTATAATGATTTTCATTTTAACTGCCTCCATTTTTGTAGATATCCATGCAAAGTTTGGCTTGTATTTGAGCTCAGTGATTCCTTTCTCCCCCATGCTCTGTTTGAACCTATTTTGTTTTGCTAATTTGCATGTCTACTGCTGACATCATGTCTACATCATTTTCTACTGCCTTTTGCCCTGCAGCGAGATGACATGACAACACAGTTTAACCAGATGAGCTTAAGTCGTCAATCATCAGGAGACAACCCAGAATCACCTTCTGGTCCTGTCTACGCATCACCTATCTTGCAGCAGCCTGCCCAGCAGACGGGTTACATTATGGCTTCACCAAGTCAGCAGCTTCCTCCAGGGGGCTTTACAGGTTCAGGTCCACCAGTATCCCAGCAAGTGCTGCAGCCACCACCCCAGGGCTTTGTGCAACAACCACCACCACCTGCTCAGGTAGGCAAAACTTTCGCTGTCAGTTTGACATGGTGCTTATTATAACGTCAGAAAAAGAATATAAAAACATTATCCAGATTTTAGATTCTTTTTTTCCACCCCTGGTAAAAGCTTAGCACATTTTTAGGCAGCAGGAAACTTGCAAAGCCTCTATTGTTTCCTGATTTTCAGCAATTCCTTCCTTATCCTCAAACCATTTTCTGAACATATGTTCATACTTCAGGACACATCTGCATGTGAAAATGAAGGAGGAGGGTGAGTAAATATCCGTAGTCCTTTTTTGCCTGTATATATACCAGAAGAGCAACATGCACATCAGCCCAGGTAGTCGTTAATCTTATTTAATTGACTTGAACATGTGAGATGTCACAGATCAGTAATTTTAACTGTCTTCCTGAAGACTGGTTATGTTTTACTGTTCACTACCAAACATCTCTGCTTGTCTCTTGGGTACCTTTACAGAATATTGAAAGTGATTACTGTCAAGAAGTAAAATGCACAGATGACTTTCTGGCCCATTTTCAAGGCATACACTTTAAAAAGCAAAATTTCTTTATCCCATTATAGATAAGTTCATTTAAACTCTGCTTTAAAATGGTATTAATAGTATTTCTTCTGTTTTCATTTTATCCTTTGGAAGAAAATACATAAAAAATAAAATAAAAAAACCTTTACCATTTCTTTTAATGTAAAAGAAGTGTAAACCCCACTAGGTTTTTTGTTTGCCACTTCTTAACTGAAATTCTCTAATTGTGTTTGTAAATGGGATTCTGTATTGCCACAGAGGTGAAGAATTTATACTGTTACAATGTTTTAAGTGGGCTAGAGATCTAGTTAATTAGACCACTAATTAACAACAAAAGAAATCTGAAGACTATTGCATGCTTACATGCCATAGAGGACTGTGACATTCATGGTTTATGTAGTCAGAAACTATGCAGCCCTTTTTTCTGAGAGAAGGCTTGCAAAAAGTAATTTTTAAGGAGCTAAAGTTGAATATAATGTGATTTTTTTTTTTTTTTAATTGAAAGTACTGCTAGAAAAATATTTTACTGTTTGCCAAATGTAGCATTTTTAAAAAAAATTTGGGGAGGAAAAAACAACCTGAAGAGCAGAATCCCCTGAAGAATCAGTCTCCCCATCTAGACTGTGTCCCCTGAGTGAATATGTAGAGGCTGTCCAGGCTTCCCTCCTGGTGTACAACCCCCCGGTGCCCTTGGTGTTTTCAAGCATCATTTAACCAAACCTCATGACACTTCTAGTGAACCAGATAAATGCAAGCACCTCCATTTTACAAGCTGTCACTGCAGCAGGCGAAGCGATGTGTTTCCCAGCCCTCCTGGCCGGGGTTTGCTGCGTGAGCTAAGGGGGCTGCAGCATCGTGTCCCTGCTGTGGCAGGGGACCCCGTGCCGCCTCCTCTCCCCTCGAGTGAGACCAGATTTGCAGTCTGCCCTGGGGTTTCTGCTAGGACCCCCTCAGTTGACTTTGTGGACGCTGCTTCTACAGGTTTGCCTGCAGCTTCTGCCCACGTGTGGCTGGGCCTTCATCACCTGGGGTGGGAGCACTGGATTTCACCCTTGCCTGTGCAGCAGGGTGCAGGGTTTTCACTCATTCTGGTGTAGTGTTACTTTGTGAACCTGTTCTTCCTCATTAATACTTGCTCTGATGCTACTGGAAAGGCAGATACTTCTCAGAGGACAAGTGATGAGGAGGTACCTTTTCGCCTATAGGCTACTGTAGAACCAGTACCATACTGGTTAGGGCCAGTACCGTACTGGTGCATCTAATTGTCACCGTGTCTCTGTCCATACACCAAATATGGTATGTATAGGTCCTTTCCGCCTATGTTGTAACAAAGTGGAAAGTCACTGAGGGCAGAAAAATATCTTTTGGGTTTGCAGTAACTTCAGTTACTTCCCTGGGGAATGGTTTGTCCTTGGAGGGTGTAGAAAGGTGAGAAATTCAGCACTGTCAGCTTCCTCTGCGTCTGCTGCACTGTGCACATCATTCATCTCCAGCTTGTCACTATTCCAAAAAATCCTTGTCAGATACCTATGTGGAAAAGGGCGCGGAGGGAGTCAGGGGCTGCTGCCTGTGTCTCTGTACCGTGAAAGCACAGTGGCCTTGATCTGCAGGGAGGGAGAAGGGGCAGCAGCCCTCTGCATCTGCATGCACAGATGTGAACTTCTGATCGATGTTTCAACTTTTAATTTATTCTCTTCAGCCCTAGAATGTGTCATAGTGGTTTGAATATACTTGTAGCACGTGTATGACAAATAGGGGATCCCTCTTCTAAAAAGATGAGCGAAAGCTTGGGAAATAGTAGTTCCTCTGCCCTAACAGCTCAGCTTTCTGTGCAGGACAGCTAGAGCCCAACTCCCTGTCCTGCCTTTGTGAAGACTTCACTGTGGCAGTGGCTATTGGTGATCTGAATCACCTGTTATTCTTTTGGGCTTAGATGAAACAGAGAGGTGCTCTCAGATGCCAAAGCAGGTGGTCTGAGACAGGCTTAAAAAAAAAAGATGGTAGTGCGTGCAAAACTTTACATGATGCATTAATCAATGCAATGCAATCAATGTAAAAGCACTTTAATATCTTACAGGTTGCTATTGAATTTATACCAGTAGAAGAGGTTTGACTCTAATGGCTAATTAGTTCCTATAAATGCATTGCTGATAAGGTGCTAGTAGGTTGGCTGTAGTGCCCTGTACGCTGTTGGAAAATAGCAGTGAAAACTTGGGTGGAGGTCCTGTGAGTATGATCATTTCCTTGGGAGCTGAAAGGAGGAGAATGAAATGCTCTCCAAGCCTACAAACCAAACAGTACTGCATTTAAAGTGTTAGCTTTTGTATTAAAGTTCAATTAAACATGTCTCTACAGCTGCTTGCCAAGATTCTCTCTCCCAGTCTGTATCAAAGCAGAAGCAGACTGAGTTAGAAATGATGTGCCTAAGAAGTGGTGAGAGGACCCCTTACATTTCTTTTGCTGCTTCTTTCATTGCAGCTATTCCTCAGCTTGACAACAGAGTCATTTAATAACCTGAAAATAACAATCTGCATTTGTTCAGCCAATTGGAAAAGAAAAAAAAAAAAAAGCCCACCACAAAAAAACCCCCAACCATTAGTCTGGGTTTGCTGAAAGGGACTTTCAGCAGCAAATGCCTGTTTGCTTTCTGTATCACAAATAGCAAACATATACCTTTACTTTCTCTATTTTCTTCTATTTTCATTTTTCTTCTCTTTCTGATGGTTCTTCTATAGCACTTATGGGCCTGGGCACTTAACAAGGATCCACATTTGGTTCTTGCAGCACTCTCTCAATGGTGCTTGTCATTGCTCTGATTCTGCAAATGAAGAAGTGGGAAAACTGCAAGTACTGTGACAATAGGAAAGGATATGCTCCCTTAAAAGTTATTTTCACCTCTGACTCGTTCTTTCTGGAAGGTGTACTGGCAAAATCATGTCCAAAAATGAGATGACATGAGTTCTTGGAGAGGCTTGGAGAAGTAGTACACATGTTGAGGGATTTTTCACCTGAATTAATTTTGTGTCATCATTAATTTTAGCTGTCTCTTTGCAGAAGCCCCCTCCTAGAGAGTCCATAGCTGCCTTAAGACAAATCTTTATTCATAGCATGTCTCCTCTAGGAAACTTGTTATGAAGAAGGCTGGGGAGTCACTGCAAGTGAGTGGGTTGTTTGTTGATGATCTCGGAAAATTATATTGGAGGACATCCTACAGTTGTTTTTTACACAAGACATTATTTTCTGTTACTGTTACTATGATTATTATGGAAGGGGGGTGGGGGGAGAAAAAAAATCCTTGAAGAACGACTGATCCCAGTCATTCAGATACTGGGAAGAAATGGTACCTCCATGTGTCCATACATCACTGTGGTTTCTGATGTCTTCATACCCATTTATGCAACTGTAGGTGTCGTTAGCAATAGTGTCAACTCGCTAATCATCTGGATAAATGTGCTAATCCAAACCTAACTGCATATCAGCAATGTTAAGAAAGGGCAGAATACCAGTCCGATGGCAGAATTGAGCTGTAAGTAGTTAGGGAGATAGTTTAGGAAAGTAAAATCAGCCTGAAGTATGTGTGGAATCCTATTCCTACCATGAGGAAAGAAACAACATACCTATGAATTTAAGGGATGCTGGTAGAGAGCAGTCCAAGGGCCACCTAGCCTGGTAGTGGGTTTTAAGCTGTTTGTGGACAGAACAAAGCAGAAAACCAATACTGTATTGAGTCGCGGCCCATCATCTAGAGACAATGCACATTAGAAGGAGGAAAAAGTAATGCCTGTTTGTGACATTTTATGAGTGTCTCTGAAGTAACATACCCAGTCATGTTACAGTTTGAGTTAAATAAAGAAAATGCTGTATATGAGAGAAAAAATAAAATGCATTGGAATGGTCAGCCTACAAACAAGGAAGAGTATCCGAGGGGGTAAGTATCATCTGTCATGTTCCATGGTAATTACTACGGGGCGGAGCGGTTTCACAGTGTTAAGGATTAAGATCAAGAAACTATGCTTTTAGACTGCAGAAGGCAGCATTTATTTAGGTTATGGTCTTAGAAGGGCATTTTTAAATTTTTTTTTTAATTTTTTTTTTTTTAGGATAACCATATAACTGTGTTGGCATGCTTGTTAGTGCAATGGAAACTTCCTGGTTCTGTAAATGAAATACAAGCAAAAGGTCCAAGGTTAGATTGTGCATTCACGTGGGAAAGCAGTTCAAGTATAATTTGGCATGTCAGTAGGCTGCTACAGAAATGTAAGTTTTTTTGTTGAAAAGCACATAAGCAAAGATGTGGTAACATGATGTCATGAGAAACTAGAAAATTCAAGCGGGTCAGAATAGATGAAGTAAGTGATACTTATTATCTCCGATCCCTCTAAATTCACTGTTCACTAATATCAGAAAGGACAAATAACATGTTCCAACTACTGATGCAGAGATGTGCTCAAGAGAAATGAAAATGGATCCTTCCAAACCCCTCAGCCATGAAAGACCTATTTTATCCATGTCTGTATTTTACACTAAGCCCTTCTTTTAATGGCTGATCTCTTAAAATAAAATTCAAAAAAAAAAATCAACAAAAAACCCAAACCCAAAACAACCAACAAAAAAACCCCACCAAACCTCAAATTTCTTCTTTGCAAGTCATATGTGCTTGGTTACTGACAAATTCATCCATTAATCTTTCTGAATTAAATTACTTTTTTTAACCAATACTCCTAACATTTTTTAGCCTGATAGATTACACCCTGATAAGCTTTGAAATGGGGTATATAACAAATGTATTCCAATGAACGGAGAAAATGAAAGTAAGGGAGAAAACCCTTTGACTAACTCTGAGGTGTTATCTGTGTGATAAAAATAGATGTTTCCAAATGACTGAATGTTTCTATGTATGTATATGTTTGTGTGCTAAGCTTGTTCAACTATAAACCTCACTTCAAAACCTATATTCTTCAGGCTATGTTTTAAAGTTAGTACTTACAGAATCTTTCCACAAGAGATAATTCACATTGTTCTCCTATGCTTGTGTATTTTGAAATGTCTAGGGGCTTGTCTGCGCAAAGAATGAATGAGGAAATGAGGAAGTTGAGGGTAAATCAAATAAATTTAAATCCTTTAAGTGAGATTAAGCTGCTGCCAGGAGGATTGAGAGTATTTCCACAGAGGATTAATATTCTTTAATTTGTAGAATACGGTAATAGAAAATAAAGAATATTTGAGAGGATGTCTGCTCTGTTCCTCTGCTCCAAGGCAGGATCAACTATTTGCATTGACTTTATTTAGACTGAATCTTCTTGCTTCTTTCAAGTCTCTTATTGTAGAGTCTCGCTGAGAGTAATCAGGTTTCCACAAGATGAGTTTATCATACTAAACTTGCCTGACACACGATTCACACTGCTATGATGCTTAAAGAATGATTTTGCACCTTAAATGTCTGGTTCAACTTCCCTATACCTTGTGACTTTTCTTTGTGGAGAAACAAATTCATCATAGAATCATAGAATCATTTTGGTTGGAAAAGACCTTTAAGATCAAGTCCAACCGTTAACCTAACACTGCCAAGCTCACCACTAAACCATGTCCCTAAGCACCACATCTACATGGGCTGGTGGCTCCACCACCTCCCTGGGCGGCCTGTTCCAATGTCTAACCACTCTTTCAGTAAAGAAGTTTTTCCTAATACCCAATCTAAATCTCCCCTGGGGCAACTTGAGGCCATTTCATCTTGTCCTGTCATTAGTTTTGTCCATTTTACAAAGGCATTTTACTTTGGTTGCTTTGGTCTCTAACAAAACAAATAACTCGAGACTGTAGCCATTAGGTGTCACTTGGTATTGTCTGGAGGGAGAATAGCTTACAACATTTTCCAGTCAAAACGTTCTTGTTTTTCTGGTATTTGTTTGAATCTGGCTGATATTATCAGGGGGGCGGGGAGGAAAAGAAGGGTTTCTATTGTTTGAAGAGAAAATTAACAGACCTTGAAGAATGACAGAGTATTCAGCCTCTTGACTGACAGGTGATGTTGACTGTCAGTTGGTCTGGAGGTTTCACTTCACTAACGCCACCAAGTCCAGCTTTCTTGATCCTGATACTTCTCCCATCACAGGTATACATTCAGTAGTCTTCTGCTTGCCCAATTAGCTATCCATACCCTCTTCTTGCCTAGTCTTTTATATCTGTCCTTGTTCTTTCTCATCTGACATAGTCTCTAGGAACATTTCTGATCTCTCTTATGATGTCCTGATAGTATACAAAAGGATGCGGTTACCTTTACTTTGCTAATACTTTACTGGTGATCAAGTTGAATGAGCTGTTCCAGGAAGATTTCCTCCATGCAAATAAAAGTGGCAAAAATAGTTCTTGTTTTGTATGAAAAAGCTCAAAAGCATATGTCTGAGTAGGATAAATGCTACAAACAGAGGGAGAAAAAATAATTGTACGATTTATAAAGAAATGCTGGATCGATGTGACAGAAGTCACGAGAGAAGCAATGTTCTCTCAAGCCTGTGTCCCTATGCAGTTTTTTGACACTATACGATGCCATACTCTGTCAGGTAACTACAGCATCCACTGCAGCTGAAAATGAAAAACTTTGAGTGCTTTGAACTTGTTGAAAACTGTTTAGCTCAAATGTCTCAGTAACGGTGGTATAGCATGCCTAGGAAAAGTCTTTAGCTTCAGTCACCCTCAAACTTCCATGTTCACCTACATGATAAGGTGATGTAGTACACATTGCTCTATAATGACAATAATGACAGAAAAAAGAAGCCCACCTAGCAGAACTTGCTGACTCAATGCCTGCCCTCAGCTCATGCAAGAAAACAGCTACGATTGATTGCTTTTTGAACTGTAATTGTATTCACATGAAGTGCAAGAGAGGCTTTACAGAAAAACATTTATGTAAGGAAGGATGTAGCTGTTAAACAAAAGTGTGAATTTAATGATTGTTTCTTGTAAGTGTTAAGGGCACACACATTCCATCTTTCCCTCTGTCTTGCTTCTGTATATTTTTACTCCAAACCATTCTTTTCTTTGAATTGACCATGTTCTCCAGAGTTCACTTAATGGTTCAACATACTGTCTATATGTATTATGGAAGATGTTGTTTGTGTCCATTTTTCTGCAGCACTTGATACTTTACTGTAATTTCTTTGGTATATGCTTGGAGCTTTTTATGCATCCTGTACATTTTTGTCTCTTTCAATTAAAAATTTTTTTTCTTCTATTTCTTAAAGTAACTGAGAAGAAATTTGGGCACTGATAGTCCTTTTCCTAGCAAAGCTGAAAGCAAGCATCTGTTCTTGAAGAGCCAGAATGCAAACCTCTCCTCTTGATTACAGTTACCACTGATATGCTTGACTTGAACTCTTGCTCCCCTTCCAGTTTTGTTTTATTTTGTGAATCTTTGAGCTTTAGAGTCTGTAGTTAGCTACTGTTCTCTTTCTTTGCAGATGCCAGTGTATTATTACCCATCTGGTCAGTACCCTACCTCAACAACTCAGCAGTACAGACCCATTGCCTCAGTTCAGTACAATGCACAGCGGAGTCAACAGATCCCACAGACTGCACAGCAAGCAGGTATTGACATCCGTTACTCATTTCTTCAGCTGCTCACAGTGCCTTTGCTCATGAAACCATTGCTTCTGTTTTAACTTTGAATTTGAACAGCAGAGGAGAAAGCTGGTCACTGTTCTGTTTGAAAATACGGTGAAAATTACAAATTAAGAAACCCTTTGCTTGGAGATACCGAGCAGTGGCAGAGCGGAGGTTGTGCTCTCCACTGCTGTCCTGCATGCAGTGATGTGTCCTCGGTGTCCGTGTTCCACATGACAGGACACAGAGAAATCTGGGAGGGAACTGGTATGAGCAGTCACGTTGCATGTTCAAGCCAACCATTGCCATTTGTCCTTCATTATGCAAACATTTGTAAGACTAGAGGGTGGACAGGTTTGCAGTGATGTAGAAGGGGCCAGTCATGCTCCACCACCTTCTGCTCTTCCTGAGCCAGAGGAGCAGTGAGGTGGTCTGCATGGTTGGTGCCGTCGGGACGAGCTCCCTGCAGCGATATGCAGCTGGAAGGGGGGCCGTTACACTGTAAGAGAGTGAGTAGCAGGTCTCACAGTGAACCGGTCTCTTTTCCTGCTGTGTCATGCCACTCCTGATGACACCAGAGTGAGAGACGTAGGCAGAGTTGCGCTGGTGTGTGTTGGGGGAGTGCAGGGGTTGTGCTTGTGAAGGGGTCCTCGCATTTCAAGGGAATAAACAGTTCTTCTGCTTTTGGAGATATTTTTTTTAAAGTTGTTGATTGTTTGTTTCTTTAGTGCACACCTCCCCTTAAGGGTGTCTCAAACGGCAACTGCAGGGTGTACGTAGGGAGGTTGTTTCCCGGTAGGGCTTGCAATTACAGACATGCCAGGTAGAACAAAGCATTTATCGTTCTGTCTGGGTTCA